TCTCCTTCAGCACTAGGAGGCCATAAACATGATGAAGATTTACTGCTGATGCTGCTCATGGATATATTTAAAACCATCAATCTTCCATTGCCAAGTCACTGAAGTCTCTTCCTGCGGGTTCAGCTAAATGAAGTGATGGGTGAATGTTGCTCTGTGATATATGTGAACTTAGATAACAGTGTGCTGATGATAAGTCCATAGCGAGTACAGATCCTTTCTTTCAGAGGGTTTTTACAGTGATTTACTTCACACAGTGCATTTACAGGCAGTAGTTTAATAGCCGTCATCAGGTAGATACTTCATTAGGGTTTTTTTTCGTGAAAGGTCACAGAACTTCGTTGGCTTTCTGAAATAAATAGCTTTGGGCTCTTACTTGCCTATAAGGATATGAAGATAGCAGGGATTTGAAAAAGTTTTTCCTTCAGGATTAAAGTAATTAAAAACGAAAGCTTAACAAGGATGGGGGCCAAGTTAAAGTCTGAAAGATTCAAAAGAGATGAAGGGGCCTTTCATTTGAAACGTGAAACTTCTTTCACATCCAAGAAGTCCGTTTGCCCTTTATTCAGACTCTGACCTGGAGGACTCAGAATCTACACCAAGAGACTTGTTAGTAAGTCTAATCAAACCACAGTAGATGCATGAATCCTTGAACCACTGCTCAGCCCCACCTGCAAAAGAATAACTTGCAGCTCACCACTAAATTCAGCTTAAAATATTTTCAGAATGGGACTTATGGTATTTGGAAAGTAGTAGTCTGATGAGGTAAAAACAGTCTTTTTGACTGCTATGAGCAATAGTAAGTTTGGAGAAAAAGAATTACAGAAGTAATGATCTTAATGTCTCTTCAGATCCGCAATGGTCAATGTCAAAAGAGACAAGTTTGAAGTTTTATCTGGTGCATACAAGTGCCTCTCCACCAACACAAAAACATCTGTGAATCTGCCTCAAAAGAGTGGCAGATACAACACCACTCAAGAATCTCTAAAAAAAACTTGAAATATCATGCAGAAAGATTGGGTTAAAACACTTCAAATATCACCTGAAAGAATACATAAGGTAACAAAAAGAGCATTTGAAGAATAAACAGTGCAAAGTCATAAAAAAATCTAAATTTGAGCATGACGTAAAAATGACAAACTGTAATTTTGCATTTGGTTTTCCTGAAAAATAAAACTTGTTCAGTTATTGAAGGGGTCAGGATGTTTGACGTTCTGAAAAGATTTGCACACATTGTATCACCGTCATCTTTGAGCTGTTGGATGTTTTCCTGTCTGTTATGCACAAATCTGGTGGTGCGTTAGCGTGTGCACTTAAACGTGTCGGCACAGGCACGGAGGGAGTGTGCTGGCTGGGCAGATCGAATGTTTTTGATGGGTGTTTGACACACGCACACACATCTTCAGACACTAGGTTGGGGTGGCTGAGGGGAAAGGGACACAGACTGTGACTCACACCGTGAACGTGACACCTGCGCTGACCGGCCCGTCACATGTCACTGAGGCACACCCTGCTTGCGCAGAAAATCTGCTTCTGACGTCAAGACTGCAAATGAATCCTGCCTGTCAGCCCCTTAAGGCAATAATCCAGCTCTCAGGCAGGAGGGACTTTCAGAAGTGTTTGATGCCCATATTCCCATCGATTGTTTTATTGATTTTCCTCATCATGAGTCCGTCTTAATGGGCCAGGCTTAATCAAGGATGAATATTTCCTCCACATGTGTATTACTTTATTGATAGCATGTGGCTCTGTTTAATGCAGACACATAAAACAACAAGCAGGAAGCATTAAAACCATGTGAGGCTGGTTTTGCCGCTCTGCAAGGGACTTACTTCTCAATTCAGCCTGTGTACTCAAAGCCCAGGACTGGGACACACACACACACACACACATACACACACACAAATAGCTGTTCAAGCAATTAGACACGCCTGTTCTCCATATTGGAATGATAAATACAGACTTAGGGGTATTGCAGTACTATACCTTGTAAATGCCCTTCTTTTAGCCCTCTGTACCTTATTAGAATAAACAGAAATGGTCTGCAGGTTTGGGAAAGTTGACGAGTGGCAAACAGCCCTGCAAGTTTGGGCACTATTCATCACATATATTGCTTGCGGTCTGTTTAAATAAACCTCAGAGGGAGTTTATACAGTATGCAAGGGCCATATGTAAAGATTCAATCAGTATGGCTAAGTTAAAAGAGCTACATTTTAAAGTCAGAGAGGGTTTCTGTTCTATGATGGACCGTACTCTTTATGCAAAATATGACACAGGGAAGAGAAGTAAACAAATGCTTACAAGTGCTACTGTTTGACCCAGCCCAGGAAGTGAATATCATTTATTTTTTACATTTAACAGTGCAAAAGGCTCTTCGCAAGAGTCCCCCCCCCATGGTAAACAGTCATAAAAAGGCCAGGATTCAGTTGCACAAATACAAATAGCTGTCTATTCATAGCCCTAATGAGAGCTGCCAGAGACAGCAGCAGGCCTTGAAATGCACTGTCGCCACTTGTAAAGTTATCGCACAGCTCCAGCTAGAAACCATGGCTGGGGATGTAAAGGCTCTCCTCTGTGAGGCCCCTTTTTCTTTGAATTGTCTTTGTCACTCTTTATTGTTCAGCTCTTTTCTTTCTCACAAAAAGGAACACTCCTCATTCTCTTTCTGTTTTTCTTCTCCACCCACTACTTCACCCGAAAGTCAACCTTTGCTCTATGGGCTACAATCTTAAAATGGAGGTCTTTTCTTTTTTGACATAGACATTGGCTGCTTTATTTCTTCTGCTTTTTGTTTTGATGAACAAGAAAGTGGCCTTACATAACCTTGGTACTTGGTCCCTGACTCTGATTGGATTATAGGGGGTGTCAAGTCTCTCCCTGATGGTCTCAAACTATATACTAACTAAGACATTAAATGTGGGGAGTGTGATTTAGAAATGCGCTGATTGATTGGCCTGTTTATTTTTTTTTGGTTTGGCCTGACAGGAATTTAAGACTTAGCTTTCAAATTCTTTGCAGATGGCCAGCCCATTGCTTTGGATCCCGTCAGCCTCCGCTGTGATTAACCTTTGTGGGAGAATAACAAACCGGTACACAGGGACACGCTGGCCTGGCTAAGCTACTTTAATGTGGTTGCTTGCAGGAGAAGGGAGGTGAACTCTGCTGAACACCTTCGGGGACTGCTTGTGGCAAGGGGGTGTCACTCGTTGGGGTAGAGGGGTCTTTCTGTGTGTGTCACGCCAGCAGTAGCGTGGAGGGAACTGTTATCACCTTTCTGAAACATTGGCTACACGTACCTACTCAGAGGATCTGGCCTTCTGCCATAGTTTTAATAGCACATGTCATACCCCGCTGCTGACTCTCCCACTTGCCTCATATGAACCTCCATACATAAAATTCTCCCCCAGCTTAGTCATGTGTCTACAGACAGAATGATGCACCTGCAAAAAATAAAAGAATAATCAAATTGAAATAAGTTGTGCGTTCACCTCAAGTCTTCCCGTCTGCATTCTCAGATGCTTTCCACAAATAACGGCTTAATGATTTCAACATTTACGACGATACGCAAAGTCGGTGTCAAAGTCAGTTTTAGCTAGCTGCTGAGTTATTTAATGCTGGCTGCTCTCTACTTTTAACCTAAACATTTCTATTAAACATTTATAAATCTGTCAAAAAAAAAAAAACTGCAAACACCCACTTATGTCTGGCTTTTGAGAGAATTGGAATTCTGTCATTTCCATGTCAGCAAAACATCCTGTTGCTATTTATTTATCTATTTATTTATTTTGGGGCTGCTGCACTCATGGCTACAAGAGGGGGCACAGCTTATTATTTCTCCATGTTTACTGACCGACCGTCACACATCAAGTGTTAACGTGGAGATGTGAAATGGGCAGATGTGATCGGTCTGCAGGGGGACAGCTCGTTCTCGGTCTTGACATTGGGAGCTCACATGGTTCTGCCAAAGATATTTGCATACAGGTCAATAGCTTGGAGAAAAAAAAGGAAGAAGACATATGGCCGTTGTAGACTCGCAACCTTTTCAAACAGTTGCCAGCATCCTAATCAAAATAAACGCTCCTTTCCCCATGGGTTTCCCACATGGCGTTTCTGAGAAAACGTTCTTCCTCCAACTTGGAACAGTGCAGCCACGTTTGACTCCATCCAGCTCTTGATTCTGAATGCATTTATTCTGTTATGTCACACTGGGGTGGCTTTTAATCAGCCAGGTTTTTGGTGGAGGCCCAGTCATCTGCAGTGCTGTGCAGAACTCTACAGACAGGATGTGCAGCAGGCAGATTGTGTCAAATGCTGAAGCGTGAGGGCTGTCACTCATCTCTGTCCCCCCAGAAACATTACGGTTCAAGAGGTAATACTGCACAAACCATTGATTTCTGGCTTTGAATTCCTAACTCTAGGCTGTTGTGCTAGTTACACAACCCTGCCCATTGAGTAAGATGTCATTTGTGGCAAGCAACGGTCTTTGTGTTTTTGCATTCTTGAGTAATCTTGCTGCTTATACGTCTGTTTTGAGTTTTTATTAGTATCTAGGTGAATAATTATGTCTATTTTTTTCTTAAAGAAAAGCAAAAAAAACAAAAGCAAAAAAAAGCAACAACAAGGACATCAATAAGGTTTTTGAATTAAAAACACATCACATCACAGCTCAGCTCATAAATACCGAAAGGTTTTTTTTCACCCACTCCAAAGGTCTGCCACTTGCCTGAAATCTCACCCACACTGCTTTCCTCCTTCAACAATGTCGCCATGTGCAAATTAACAGGCCTGGGAAACAATGTCTGCCTTGTGAGGGCTGGCCATGCTTTTTTTTCTCCTTCTTTTTTTCAAGAAAGTGGCATTTCAGACAAACTGATTCCACTAAATGGGTCAAGACATTTTTCGTGGGTCAAAGAATGATCGAAGAAGAATTCAGAGTCTAAATAGTTTAAGAAAAAAAACTCGCTTGCTAAAAATGCTGATCTATCCTAACATTTCTAACCTACCTTTCCACCTATAGTACTGGCCTGCTTCCCTCCATGGTGCAGGGAGTTGTGTGTGCAGTGGGGCCCTTTGTCCAGGCCCTGGGCAGTTGGTGGGTGGGCAGTGGTGAAGGGCAGTGCAGCAGCTCCCAGCAGTGGACAGACCGGGGCTCTGTGCTATCTGCTCTGCGTTACTTTCTGGCTCAGCGCGCCATTTCAACACCTCAGCACTCTCGGACTGCAGGCAAAGCCGCCCTGTTTCTTTTTTCCCCCCTCTGTCTGCACTTACAAATAGGCTTTTCCGTCTTTGGATTATTTTACCCAATATTTCAAAGTAGAGTTATCTTTTATCCTGTTTTGGTTAAACACCAGAAAAATGGTTTTTGGCTCGGCCGGACTGTGTGTGAAGTGAACCCAGACCATTCATTGATCAAATCACACGTGGAACACTCAGGAGAAATAAGGTGTGACAGAAAATTTCTTTCAGCACTGAAAATGTCTGTTTTCATGACAAATAAATAAGACGATGATATAAGGGATGCATTTAATGTTCCGCGGCCTCCTGCGGGATTTTAATATTTTTTCATGTGATATTTTGGTTTGTGTCCATGTCTTTATTGTGGTTCTTTTTCACCACTCTTATCAGAGAAAAGTTCTTTTTAGTTTTGCTAACTGTTTGCAGATGTTTAATCTCACAAAAGCAACACCAGAGAGCCAAAAGACAAAGACAGCCAGTGTAGTGGGCACGCAAAAGATATTTCACTTAAAGATGATGGAAACCAAAACAGAGATGTAGATTTATATATTCATTCACCAGCTGTCAAAGACAAAAAGGGGGGGAAGAAAATCTGATTTATTTTATTACTCTATAATATCAAAGTAATAAAGAAGTATAAAGAATTCAATTTTCTTTGCAAACCACTTCAAACAGCATAACAAAAGGCTTTTTTCAAAATCTTGAGGTTTTTTTTCACTTCTTAAAACCAAAAAGAGGGCAATTAACTAATCAAGTATTGCTATTGCAATGTCCCAATCCCATAGCCCAGAGACACAGCCATCAGTCAGAATTCCTCAGTTATATTCTAGTTGGAACCTACAGTGAAGGGGATTTTCCATAAATGCACAACATGACAGCACACGGCTCTGGCAGCTTAAGCAACGCGCTTTAACTGCTTGTGAAACAGTTTTCTTTTTGGTGTTCGTATTCATTGTAATTCACATAATGTATGAAACAATATGAATATATATCATGTGTAAAGGTTCATAGAAATAACCATGACCATGGGAGTGACAAAGGAAAAGAAGCAGAGCTCCCTTTCGCTTTCTCTCTGCCCTTTTTATAACTCTGTGGGTTCATGAAGGGTGGCTCCTGCATGGCTGCCCACGGCATTTGCTTAACAAAAAGAATTTTATGTGTGCAAGCTTACATCAAGGGCTGCTGGCTGCAAAAACCACGAGCGCAAAGTGATGCTGCGATAGCATGTGTCACCTTTACTGGACACATTTTTAGGGTGCACACATAAAAGCAGTTATGTAGCCTACTGGCGCAGGATGAATTTTGCTTATGGCAGAAGTGCTGCCCGTGTAAAGTTGCAGGTTCACAGTGTGCCGTACTGACGTGTGTGACAGCGAGCCACAGAGAGCAAACTTACCTACAAGGCCTGTCAGAAAGTTTCCCACTAAAAACCACTGCCTGCTGCTGCTGGACTCCCTTCAGATGTGAGAAGTAAAGAAAATGCTCAGAGTAGATGAAATTCAGGCCATAAGACTGCAAAACCTAAAAATGAGCTGCACTGAAAAGTGCTAAAAGGCTCAGTGAGTCTGAGGAGAAACCTCAAAAAATAGGTGATACTCCAGGGTTTGTTGTGATGAGGGCTGGCCAATAAAACACATGGTTAATGTTCCAGTCCATCAATATCTCCCTTACTAAATGAATGAATACATATTTATGTCTTAACTCCCTGAATTATAAAATGAAATTAAAAAAACATTTAAAAAAACAATGTAACATTGTCTAGAGCCTTTTTCCTTGGAAAAATGTAATGACTTCAGCACGTAGTAGCTGTATATCCAGTGTAAGGAGAGGAGGCTGTGTGTGATGGGTTTGAGTTTACAAACAATCAACAGTGGAGGCTCCATTTGGCATAAATTGTACCAAATTAGAGCAAAAATAACTTGAAATACAGCAAAGAGCACGGACTAAGGCTTTTCCTCACTGAAAATGTATTTTTATCCCTCTGAAAGTACTTTTGTAAGTCTTGTTTTCCTCTGTTTGGATTTAGCTGATGTTTGTATAACCCCCTAACAGAGTTTTTATTTTAGCTCACCTCTGCAGCCATATATTCACAGTTGCACCCCGTGTTTTTTAGGGGGAATCTAGCATGAATTTAGCTGCTCAAGGGGCACCATTTGGACAAGATGAAAGCAGTGTGGGTGGTCTGAGAAAGATCAGGTTCTGTACAGTTAGCGTCCTCCTGCAAAGTCAGCGAGCTCTGCCTGTCTGCTGTCACGCACACCACAGACATCCCTTTCCCTACACACACTGCTTGTGTCCATCAGTCTCTCCGTGCCTGACAACCGGGGAGCACACTAACCACTCTGCTTGGTGCTGTCTTCACTGCCACCTCATCCCTCTTTTTACCCCCTCTTTCCACACACACACTCCCCCATAGCAGCCATTCCTCTCCTCTCACTCACTGCTTCTCTAATGTGCCCCTGTGTGTATAACAGGAATCGACAGCATGGCTCCTCTGAAACCAAATCCTAGGAATAGGAGTCGGCGAGTGAGCTTAGAGGGAGGTTGTGTAGGTTTATGGAAGGTCACCGTGAAGTCCACCTGACAGCCCAAGTCCTGCGCTGATTTAACAGGCAGCCTTTGATCTGGTGCCTTGAGGTGCTTCCCCTGTCCAAAGCCCTCCTACAGTTTCTGAAGTTATGTAAGCATCACAAATGGGGGGGGTCCATCTCCTCCTGGCCCCGGCGCAACAGCTCCGCCTCCAGTCCTGACCTCTCGTCCCAACCCAGTCCTGTGACTGGAGGACACAAAGATGGTGGTGGGCATTTGAGCCACGCGGAAGGTGACTCCTGGTGCCAGTGTTGGGTTTCACACTCGACCTACAAAAGCAGGAGGCAGAGACCCCGGCCGTCGCCGTGCGGCTGGAGGGTGAGATACGGAGGAAAAAGCAGAAAAAGAGAGTGTCAGAGAGAGAGATTGAAAGGAGAGGAGGAAAAGAAAGACAAAACACCAAAGCTTCATAAACACCCCCACCCCTGCTGTGCATGATGGGCATGGATGTGTTTCACCCAAAGGCTGGAGTCCTCACCACCACTGACAGCCCACAAACCCAAACACTCGGGAACGCTTCGTTTCTGGTACCATGATGGCTTCTGGCACTAGATTCTGAGATTTTATTTATTTAATCTCGGTACATAGCTTGTTATTAAACATTGGCTCTGAGCAAACATTTTTCACCACACAATCTCGGGTTAAGGCAGATGTAGGGATAAAGTCTTAACAATTTACACGTGGTTGTACAACTGGCGCCTCGGCAAGGAGCCATTAGACTGTCATTTATGTATGTGTTTTTTTGTTGTTTTTTTTTTGCAAAACTCATCAGATAACAGACACTTTAATGGAAGACAGATAAGAAAAAAAGCTGCAGTTTCCCACTCACTTTGACTGGTTTTGCTTGACTTGTAATTTCTCTTGCATAATGGATCTGAACCCAAAAAAGGTAATTTAAATCCCCATTTTCTGTTGTGATGAAAATCAGGATGTAAGGGATCATGTATTTTCTCACTTTTAGTCACATTAAAATTACCAGTAATAAATTTAAGTAAAAAATGTGGGAATTTTCCGGCTGTTGTATTAAGTGAGGTTAAGTCTACTAAATGTCAAAGCAGTGCTTTCAAATGCAATCGTGATGTACAACCAACAGAAAAGAGAGAAAAACTTTGATGACCTGTCGACTTAAGCATGTTGTGTATTTATGGAATCAATAAGCTTGTTTTAAGACAAAATTGGATTACCTGCAAAACTTGACCCCAGTTTTTGTACAAGTGAACAAATTCTAACACTTCCAAAGACATTTAGCTCTGTGTTTATATTATGCTTTGCGTTATCTTCAAGTCAAGTGAAAAATAAAGATGCACTTTGATGTTGAAATTCAAGAAAAACATGTCTGTTCAGCTTTCACTGAATATATGTATGGAAATAGCCTGAGGTACAACTGTTGAGGCTTTCGCACACAATGCACCCCCAGAACATGTAACTGCATAATTTGGTTAATAAACAAACTAGCACATGTCAACTTCTGCTTTTCATTCTCTCCTGCCAATCGCTTCGTAATGCACAATACAGAAAGATTTAGCTGAAGATACAACAGTTACTACCTGCAGAGATAAATTTATGACTGATAGTGTAAAACACTACATCTCTTGTTATGTGCATGATGTTTTCCATCTTTTAAATGCAGAATACTGTCTGCTTTGCCTAGCAGATTGGCAACAACAAGACAAAACCTGTTAAAAGGCTTTGGGGTGTCAAAGAACAAACATAGTATGATTAATTTAATATCTGGCTGGTTTGAATATGTCTGCATTTGTTGCACCCTACTAGGGAGTGCACCTGACTATCAAAAACGTCTCAAAGCAGATTTATTTTCATTCCTTTTTTTCCCACAGACAAGGTGATTTTTTTTAATTGTTTTTTTTTTGTGCTGGCAGCAGTGATAATGCTATGACAGCGTAACTTTGCCTGGACAGCGTAGGATTTATGAACAGCCAAGAGAAACAAATGGAGTGGTAGTACAGTGGCACAACACTGTCGATGACTGTTTATATGATAACACTTTGTCTCTAACACACGGGACATTTTCTGGCTCTCTGCATCGCATTCTTTTCCCTCTATATGTTTGTTGCTGGGCCTCCTTTGTAGCTGCCAGCCCGAGTGAGCTAAAATTATCTCTCAGCCTACTGTGAATTGAGGACTTTTATTACCACACCCATATGCCTCTCTGTGCGTGCAGCCAAACCAAAGCAACAGTCACCAGAGACACTGGATTTGACTGCTGTTCAGGCAAGTACAGAAAATAGGACCTGCACATACTGGTCGCACATGAGACAGAAACAAAATGCTGAAAGAGAATCCATCTAAA